TTCTGATACGAGCTGTTGGGGAATTGTATAATATTCTTATCCAGTTTATAAAGAGTTTCCAAAACCAAATTTGTGTAAAGTTGCGAATAAAAATTTCCAGTTAACTCTGTCAAATGCTTTTTCTGCATCTAGAGATAATATTATGGTTTCGATGTTTTTATCGTATGAGTAGTCTATTAAATTAAGTAATCTACGAGTGTTTGTTGAGGAGTGCCGACCTTTTATGAAACCAGTTTGGTCAGGATGAATTAAGAGGGGGGTCATTTTCTCTAATCTCTTTGAGAGAGCTTTGCAGATTATTTTAAGGTCTACATTTAAAAGAGAAATTGGACGATAGCTTGAGGGATAAAGGTCTTTGCCTGGTTTTAGCAGAACTAATGTTTGCAGAATTCATATTTGGATGGTAGTCTGCCATTTTCCTGATTTCCTGAACATTCGTGGAATACTGGTGCCAAAATTGTCCAGAATTCTTTGTAGAATTCTGCAGGGAAGCCGTCTGGACCTGGAGCCTTATTATTGGGCATACTTATCAGGGCTTCCTGGAGTTCACTTGGCGTCAGTGGCGAATCCAGTTCCATTGCTTGACTGTCTAGTAATTTTGGAAGAGTTACGTTGTCAAGAAACAGATCAATTTCATTTTTAGATGGGTTTATTTGTGGTGAGTATAAAGTTTCATAGAAATCCCTAAAAATGTTGTTTATTCTTCCAGGATCATATATTGTGTTCCCCGATAAATCTTTAGCAGCACATATAGTTGTTTTTTCTTTATTTATTTTTAGCTGGTTAGCTAGAAATCGACCTGATTTGTTACTGTGTTCAAAATTCTGCAAGCGAAGTCTTTGTATAAGGAATTGTGTTTTTTTATTAATAGTTTCATTTAATTCTAGTTTTGTTTTGCATATTTTGTTCAATGTTTCCTGATCTTGGTTGGCATCGCTAGGCATTCTTCTAAGGATTTATTTTAATTAGAGATGGACCGATCCGATATTACAGTATCGGTATCGGTCTCGATACTGACGTAAATTACTGGATCGGATATCGGAGAGAAATAAAAAATGTAATCCGATCCATTAAATATCAAAAAAGCACCTCACAAAACTTGCGACACGGCGTAACTCAGGCTCATAACCGTAGCACGTCGGAGCAGTGTGCTCACGTGATAGAGCGGCTGTGTGTATTTGTAGCCTCCCTACCAAACCAGCAAGTGCTGTAAGTTTCTCTGAATGTTTGTAAAGCATTCCCACGTTAAGCTTAACAACCGATATATGGAGCGACTGCCTCTTCTCTCTCCCTCCCTCTCCTGCTGCTACTTCAATCATGAAACTGCTTAATGATCAGCTGATCGGCTTTTCTGTCGCGAGTCCGTCTCTCTTGTTTGTTTTTGGCCCACTTTGCACCAGAAAGAGGAAACCAGCGGCTGAACAACAGCAGCACGTTTAAGCTTGATAAGCTGTTGTTAGAATTTATTTAATATTACTTTCTACACCAGGATCTTTTTCTACGTAGCTGACGGCTGGTAACTGTGCAGGGGCGGATCTAGCAAAGTTTAGCCAGGGGGGCCGATAGGGCATTAACAGGGAAAAGGGGGCACAAAGACATACTTTTCTTTCTTATTCTCATTTAAAATGTCGAGCTTTTAATAAATAATTATCTGAATCTTACACCCAAAGTTTTAATCTGATGTAAAATATATAGAAGTCCATTACTGTATATAGTAACTGTTAAGTCTAATATACCCTAGTAAGCTATAGTACTTTTTCCTTTGGGAAGGTACCATCTGTGCAGTCTGCAATTCTGTTGAAGAAAGATGTTGAATCTATTTAATTATTCTTGAAAAATAATTCATTTCTCTCCATTTTTTTTTCACACTGCATCAAATTAAAGTTGATTACGTGGATTAAGCATCATGAGGTGGGGGTGGTTCCCTATTTTTTTTTTGCTGGGAGTTTGCAGCCCTATTAGTTAGGTTGCTTAATATTTCTGCTAAGTACTCTTTAAAATACCAGAATAGGAAGGATGGAGTAGGTTTAAGTTTATTAGATTGATCAGTGTTGCTGAACTATGAAATATTTTGTGGGCAGTGTATTTTTTACATACAGGTATAACAGAATAGCTTTAGTGTTGTTGTTTATTTAAACTTGAGTATGAACTTATACAAAATGGAGCAAGATATTAAAAAACTGTTTTATTGATTAAAAACACACTATATCAGATTCATATCGGTATCAGCAGATATCCAAATTTATGATATCGGTATCGGACATAAAAAAGTGGTATCGTGCCATCTCTACTTTAAAGTAGGCTGTTTTTAATAATGAAAGTTTGTTTCCATGGCACAAAAAGGACATACTTAAACAACATAATAAACCAACTATAACACAAGCCAGTCAAGCTGAACGCTCGCGTTACCTGCATATGTGCAATCATTTCTTTTCATGTGAAAAGACTCTGTACTCTAATCTCGTGATCCTTTCTATCTTTTCCTTTGCTATTTGTTGTTTTTTTTTTTACTTGTGTGCTTGTGCTGTGGCCACTATGAATGATGTGATATTCTTGTGTCAAACAGCTGTGGAGATTTTTCACTGATAAATAAACCATCATGGCCACCAACAGAACCTTAGTGCTAGTATGACTACAAGTGCTAAGAATATGCAAGTTGTATCTTACGTAGCTTGCAGGTATGAAACAAACATCTCTGAAGGAACCTTCTTGCAGTTTTAGCAAAGCTGCAACCTTAAGCCTGAAGTGTTTTCAGACAAAAAAACAGTTAAACCAGATTAATAAAATTAAGCAGATTATCATGAGAAAGACATAATGAAATATATATATAGATAAATGTATAAATATATATGCAAGTGCATGAAAACATAAAGCATACATGGAAATTTAACCCACAAACATTATTGTAATGTGGACACATTTTAAAACAATGAATGAATCCTTTATTTAAACAGCCTATTTGAGCTGAAGATCAATGAGCTACATAATAAAACAATACATTATGCACGCAATTGAGAAAAACATATGCAAGTTAAATTTGATGTTAAACCAAGAAAAATCATTTATGTCTTCTTTTGGCTATATATATGTGTGTGTCACCAGATGATTATTACTTGATATACGTTTTGAGTTGGATTTTTGATATTAGGGAATAAAAACAAACTAAACCAAAGCAAGGATTACATTTTGATATTTTACTGCAAAGCATTATTAGAAAACAATGTTACGTCAGACAGTTTTGGCTGCGAAGGTTGGCCTCCAATGCTGCAAGACAAATCTCTGATGTGAAAAAGGCCTTTAGTCATTTCCATCGTGTTGTTTTTCCTCAGCGTTACAAGGCAGACTTCTGTCAAAGTAAAATATTCGAGCTCACTGATTGCTATCAGCGAGGTCTTTATTTGCCAAATTGCCAAATTGAAATCCATTTCTTTACATGAAATTCTATTTGTACTCATTGCTCCTCATTCCCACTGAATGACTTCTTCCATGCTTTTAATCAGGCTCGCTATTTTTGGGGCTTTGGACATTTAATCTGCTAATTCTGTAAACATTGTTGTCTTGCAGCAGCGTAGTCTTATATGATCAAAGTGAAGGCTGATGGCAGTAGCTGCTTGCATATACTGTTGATTCAGCGGTGAGATACTATTGTGCACTTCATAACTGTTTATTTGACCTTGAATTGTTGCTGGCCTTATCTGTAGTCAGACGGGCTATTGTTCCATTATGTTCCTATGTAAGAGTCTACTTGTTGCGCACACACTTTGTGTTTCACTGGGATAAACTGAACACAATAGAGAAATCAGCAACTTGTTGAAGTGTTACTGATCTGTTGATGCAGTGCTAGATATCATTAATTCCTTCTTCCCTTTGTTTTCAGGATTTCCGAGTGTGTTTTTCTTAAAGTATAGTTTTTCTTTCCAGACTTACGTCAAATAAAGTGAGGCTAAGCTTCAAGTGCACCTGAAATCTTACTTTTGTTTGGTTATTGTTTTCATAAGAATTCAGCAGTCCGTTTTTTTTTATCAGAGCTCTTTTGTGTGAAATCTGCAGAATCTCACTGCAGATCTTGTGCAGATGAGTCATACAGTGTCTTGTGGTTCAAAATAAGGTACTGTAGCATGATAGAAATGGGAAGAACACATCTTTATGTGAAACGTGTTTTAAAAAGAAAATGCTTAATGGATGCAGACACTTTATGGTGATTTAGAAATTTTCAGTTTTGTTTCGGAAAGATTTATTTTAATTGAGAAACTACCAAAAACATATTTCTTTAAAAAAAAAAGTCCTAATAATAATAATAACTATAAGCCGTTCTCTGTATTGTGGCATTTATTGTAGCTTTAACACCTTTTTATAAGATTTATATTTAATATTGGTTCAATACGATTACTTCTTTCATTTTCGATCGGTCCACACCCAGTGGATATAGCGATGTTTTTCAAGGGTGGTTGTCCAATGAGAAAAGGGAGAGGGAGTTCCTAAAATAAGTTGTTGGAACTCAAGAAAATAACTTCCTAAAATTAGTTGAATTGTTCTCAAGAAAAGGAAATGACTAATGATCATGAATGCCTAGGTGTGAATGGTGTGGGGATAGTCTAGCACATGCTGCTGTTTGTGTGCACAGTGAAAAACAACAAAGAACAACATTTTATTGTTCTTATTCAATTGTAATGGCCTCAGCTATTTCTTTTAAGCAGTCACAGTACATTTGCCAGTGAACTGCTCCTCGTCCCAAGATGCAAAGAATTGGCTTTGATGTAATCATTCACAGTAAAAATAAAGGGCTCATCAATTTTGAAATGGACATTTTATTTTTGTAAATGTGCAGGATAATTATCCCAGTCTATTAAAACTTCCCAGAGGGTTGGAAACACTTAACGCTGCATGCTGCAGCAAGCTGGAAAACAACACAGCGCGAGAGGTTTGGTTGATGACTGGGAGTGTTGTCAGTCACAGTGCATGGTTTGATGATGTGTTTCTGTTGCTGTGCACATCTGCAGGAAATGGTTTTGTTAACCCCAGGGGCTCTCCAGGCCTCCTCAGCACAGCCAGTGGCAATGGCCTGGGTAAAGTCATGCCCACCAAGTCTCCGCCACCCCCTGGAGGGAACATGGGAATGGGAAGCCGCAAGCCAGACCTGAGGGTTGTTATCCCTCCATCAAGCAAAGGGATGATGCCCCCGCTGGTGAGTAGAGAGCACACCACTGCACACGAGTATCACTAGCTGAAGCACCTTTAAATATCTCTGCTGCAGGGCAGAGCAGAGCTTTGTTTGGTGTCTTTATCAAGCCCTTCGTAGCAGAACACTTTGCCTGGATTTTGCCCAAACATGTTTTCGATGTTATCACAAAACGTAGCGTGGTGTTCAGCTGAGGTTTCCGCCTCACTTGAACACTTGAACTCAGGACTTTTATTTATCTGAGAAGTGGGGCTCAGTGTGGTAGCGTAAGTGTCTGAGATGTGTTCACCTCTATTTCAGTGTGGACCGAACCATGGATCTGCACCCTTCCTCCATTATTCACATTCATTCTGAGGCCTATAAAAACAATAATAAGAAGAAAGCTTCAGGGTGCCCTGATCGTAGCAAACACATGAGGTTTAAGCGGACCCTCGGAGTCACGAATCGACATTCAGAAAACTGTAAAAGGGGGGTTGGGGCGGGATTTAAAGACAGTGGCAAGCAAATACCCTGATTCACCTCTGTGTGTTGTTTGTGGTGTCAGTAACAGGAGCCTTTCCAGAAAACCGATGTGTTTTGTAAATAAACCTCTGGTTACTGTGGCTGCTCCTCCTTTGCTGAGCCTCAGCTGGCCTGGAGCAGTGTTTAAACAACTGTGTGATACTGTGTCTGCTTGTGGAATACGTAGGAGTAGGACAGGTTGTGTTGCAAGAGGTGCAGGGTGGGAGGTCCTGTTCTGTCTGAGCCTACGAAGTATTTTCGACTGGTAGAGGCTGTTGAGGGCGTGGGCTGTGGCAGGTCTGCAGACAGCCTGTCATTAGGCCATAATGGTATTAAATTAATCACATCTCAGTGTGACAGAGTGTAGATGAAGACTTAATCAGGGGCCCAGGGTGTGAGCCAGATAATATCTTGTCGCCCTTGTCGTGTCTTCCTACCGCTATTGATTGAGTGTGGGTATTAAGAGCCCCGGCGTGGACACAGTATGTCCCACAGCACAGAAAAGATGGAAAATGGGCTTCTTGTTCTTCCTCCCAGCACAGGGGGGATTTTTAAGTGCACAGTACTAAGCAGCCATTATTGGTACCAGCGGAGAAGCTTCATTCGTAATTTCTGGTGATTATGATTTGATCTCAGTGCCACTCACAAATGTCAGCTCTCATTTGTGTAAGCTTCACTGACGTCCGACTGCTCCATCTTCTTTATTTACAAGACTGGAATTTTATAGCCCAACAAACCGGAGCACCAGCGCTTCATACCCACACGTGCTACGGTTTGGTGACAGCATGTATTTGCATTACATTTAAGAAAGCAAATTTAGCTGCTTTGTTCAAAGAGAGCGGGATTTACCAGTGATTGGTCACCAGAAGTTTTTATATTTATTATTGTCCCTTTTACTGTAAATTCCTGCACTTGTCACCTCCCCCCACCCCGAGCGATTTACAGCCGCTCTGCTGCTTTTCTGTAACTCTCTTCTTTTCTTCTGTTGAGGGCAGTCTGAGGAGGAGGAAATGGATTTGGTGAGTTTTGAGAAATGCCTGGGCAAATGGCTGCAATGTGAACGTGCTTCCGGTGATCACTGATGCTAGACTGAAGGCACCGCGCACACTGGAGACTGGCTCTCAGATCTCCCAGTGATAAGAAACAAGACATGGAAAAACAAAAACAACAACGACAAAAACATTAACACTGCATGCTTTGGGTTTGGCCTGTGAAAATTGCCTCGGCCTGTTAAATTGGCTCCTCTATTCCCAACACGTCAATGTTAGTCATATACCACCAGAGTTTATGTGTGAAAGTGTGTGTGTGACAGAGAAAGAGAGCGAGAGAAAGGAAGAGGGGGAGAAAGCAGATCAGTGATTACTTTTTAAAATTATTTTACGCATAGTTTCATGTTTTACAACTCAAAGAGTGATGAGTAAATTATAAATCATTTATATTTTTTAACCCAGAGAGGATTACATCATCTTACATGATATCACCTTACGAGATACTCGGTGAAGTCATCTGGCTGGAGAGTGTTGGAACAATGCGAGGAAGCCATCAACTGTAGATCATGATGCAATGGCGCTTCAAACACGACTGCTGGCAGCTGCACATATGTTTGTTACATTAAACACTGGGGAATTTTATAGTATTGTTCTAAACTTTTGCTGCGTTTCATTAGTGGATCTGCAACTCACTGCAGAGTTTACTGCATGACCACAACAAGCTGCATTTTTTTTGCGGACTGCATGCCAGTCACTGCACTAAAAACCACTGGGGCTCTGCTGTGTGTCACTCTGGGTGCTGATATGTGTCATATACGCATATATATATACATATACATAATATTCGGGTGTGAAACTGATCTCCAGACTCACTTTAATGGCTCACTCTGATTGTTTTTGCGGTGGACTCTTGTGGAGTGGAGCTTGCCCAAAACGAGTGTTCTTAACTCTTTAATAACACTAACAAAATGTATTTGTCGTGCTTTTAATTGCACATCAGCAATTCTGTACTGACGTCGGTCAGCTTTCTACTTTGAATAGCAGAATTCTACCTAAATTTATTGCAAAGCTCTCTCAACGTTTTTCTGTATATATTAAATATAAACGAATCTGTAGGTAATCAGACTAAATATATCAGTTTATCGTTAGGTGTCCTCATTTTTTAATCTACTTTCATAAACTTTTTAATGCACACAGTCAATAATAAATCAGAAAGAGCAGAACATTTACAGCAATGAAGCTACACTGCCACCTTGTGGCAGCTTTTATTATTACATGCACATTCTTGACACGACCTTTAGTACAGAATATGGAACACTTTGAAAAAAAATAGTCATTAAAAAAACTGGATCATTTGTAGCCTTTACATTAGGGACTTTTAACTTTGCCCAAGAGCTACTTTAGCGAAATGACTGAATCATCTGCAGTATTTATCAGGTAAAATAATAAAAGGATCAAAAGACAAACAAAGAAAGGATTTTGCTTTATTCAGTGACTACAGCTTCATTAAACTGAAAATGCTTTAGTTACATTTTGAAAACATTAGGCAGAGGTGAAAACTCATCAATAAGTCGTATTCAGTGCAGCCTGCCCTTGGCATTATATGGCTGATTTGGCACGCAGCCTCTAAGTCGAGTAACACGACGCTAAATGAAGTGTTTTAAATGATACTATTGGCACTGTTTAGCATCCAAGTGTGATATTTTTATAGTGCCATGTTTTGAGCTAAAGTATTTTCTTTGTTGTTTGTGTTTTTTGCAGAACACTCAGAGGATAAGCAGTTCCCAGTCCACCCAGCCGCTGGCTACTCCAGTCGTGTCTGTCACCACCCCCAGCTTACCCCCACAGGGCCTGGTCTACTCAGGCATGACCACCTCCTACAATCCTGCTGGTGAGTCTGGACTCGCTCACCCCCCTCCCAGACTGACAACAACCTTTTTGGCCGAGATTATTTGCACAACACGCTGTTGGTTCCTGCTCTTTTCTCAGTGGCACACAGTGTTGTAACTGAAATGCGAGTGAGTTCTCAGTGTGCGTGGTTGCTTTTTTTTTTTTTTTTTAACAGAGTACTCCCTGAGCAGTGCAGAGATCTCTTCCCTACAGGGCTTCAGCTCTCCTGGGCTCTCGCTGGGCTCCATGTCGGCATGGCAACAGCATCAACTGGGCCAAGCAGCTCTTAATTCTTTGGTGTGAGTAACACACTTACAAACAAAAGCACACTCTCCAGACGCCCTCACATAAAAGCAACACCCACTGTGCTCTGTGATATCATACTGAATCACACATCTACAGTCCTGGCTTTTCACATTATTTCAGTTCATATTTGTTCGCTCGTTGTTTTTGACCAAGAACAAAATGTCTCGCTTATCTTTGCTGCAGTGGCGGAGGTCACCTACCTCAGGGTTCCAACCTATCTATCAGCACCAGCCAGAGCATAAACATCAAGTCTGAGCCTATCTCACCGCCACGGGAGCGCGTCACCCCGTCTGGGTTCCCCTCACAGCAGCCGCAGCAAGGGTCCAGCCGACAGGAAGTTCTGGGACGTTCACCTGCCGACAGCCTCAGCTCGTCTTGTAGCTCATATGATGGCAGTGATCGTGAGGACCACCGGCCAGACTTCCACTCCCCGCTGGGGCTGGGCAGACCCCCTGCTGGCTCGGAGGACAGGGAGAGCCCATCGGTCAAGCGCTTGCGCATGGACACATGGGTGACATAAAGAGCTCTGATCAAGCCTCCAGTCACCAGCCGGTCAGAGAGAGAGGGAGGGGTTAGACATGGAGATAAAAGAGAGAGAAAGAGGGAAAAAGAGAGAGTGAGGGAAAGAGAGAGAAAGAGAGAGAGAGAGAGAGAGAGAGCAAGGGTCCTTACAGCTATCATTGTCATGCTATTATTCAACTCCACTTCAGTTTGTATGACTGAGATGTAATGTAATAAGACGTGTCAGGACATATCTAAAGTTAATTCTCAGACTGATAAAATAAGATTAAAAACTCAGCTAGGTGGACTGAATTATATGCACAAACAGGTGGTATCAGGTACTTGGTGCAATTCAGGAGACGCTGCAGAAGAAAGATGTTCAAAGAAAATCGTTAAACAATAGGCGGTGAATTACTTTAGTCACTGGTCTAGTCAGACACTTACATGTAGTTGCTGTTTTTGCTGTTGTGCTTGCAAGTTGCAAACAGTCAGAGAAAATTGTGTTGCTTTCAGGCTGAGGACCCGTGCATATGATATTTCACTGCAAGAACTGTCTTTAAAATCATGCTGTAATCACACAAGACCTTTATATTAAGTGGCCTCTCCTAATTTATTGACTGAGTGGATCAGGCGCGCATCAGTTTAAAGGACCAGTGTGTGGGATTTGGTAGAATTTAGCTGCGATGGTGTGTGTTGCAAATTGATCCCTCACTTTTCCCCTTCCGAGGCCGCCAATGTAGAAACGTGAAAGGTTTGTCCACGTTTGTCCCACATGACCGACTCCGTGGAAGAAAATACTGCTCTAATTATAAGCCACACTTCCCTCCCTTCAAAACGTAAAAAACAAATTCAATTACAGTTGACTACACACCAATTCAAACATGTTTGTGAATGCTGTAATATACGCCTGCCGTTGGATACTCAAACATCCAGCACACTGGTCCTTTTTATCGAAGTTACACAGGTATTTTGATCCTACAGTAAATCGTTGCAACAGTTGAGACTACTTTAGCGAATACGTGAAACATAAATGTCGGGGGTAAAAATGAGATAGGAGCAGAATCTATTGCAATAATGACAATAACTATTCATTTTATAATTTAAAAGATTAGGGTATGTAAATGTGCAATTAAGATAATGCCCAGTTGAGCTGGTGAGAAAGTCAGCATGTTCACGTTTGTGTAACAGTTCATCAGTAATATAAGCCAAAGCTGTTCTTTTGTGTTGTTTTGTACAGTTGCATTGATTTCTCCTAACAACTCACTCAAACGCACCGTTTCTTTCGTCACAGTTCTTATTTGTTATTGTGCTTTTAATATAGTTTAAAGTCATGTAAAACAGATCTTGAATCGATATCGAAAGCCATGAACATTTGCTGTTCTGTTTGTGTAATTGATCATTTGAGCCAAACGTCGTCTTTTGTTGTGTAAATAGCGACTTTAATATATATTACCAGGGTGTGAGTACATGCTGAATGTACTGTATGATCACCGTTTTCAAGGAAAGTATATTTTTGTGGTTTACAGCCAAGTTTACAAGAGTACACCCTTAAAGAAAAAGAAAAAAAAAGTAGATCATTCACTGGTCAATATTTACTATTATGTTAGTCTCTTTGAAAATGAATTGCCAACATAAAACTCCCATGTGTTTAGTTCCAGATGGCTAATTTGTTTTGTCTCTCTTTTTAGTGGTTTAGTGGTGATTGTTTGTCCTGATGACATTGTAATAACAATGCTGTGAGGTTGAAGTTCCACTATTTTCATATTTCTTAAGGATAATCACAAGGCTAGGGGAAATAGGGTTTCTTCTCACCTATTGTGCTGGCCTGTGTTAGCAGCTGCTGAATACACTGCCACCATTCAAATCCAAGGTCCAAGCCCTCACTGAGGAATAATCTATTGTTAATGCGTGTAGCTCAATTGAAAGACGCGTCATCTCTCAAGCCATTTCCGCTATCGTGCTATTGGTTCATGCAATTAAAGGAAGACACATGGACATGGCAGAAGTGGCTGCTGACCTTCGTACAAAACCAGTCATGCCTGTTCCCACGTGTAGTTGTAAATATGTAAGTCTGCTTGAACTGTCCGTCACAATTGCGTGCAAAAAACACCCATGTGTGTCATGAATTGGCTACGCAAACTTCATCTTATCTCCATTTCCCGTTAGAGTAGTGCAGCCTGAGGAACAGTGAAAATCTGAAGCTGTTGAGGTCATGTAAAGACAGGAGATGGTGTGCAGGGGGAGGGGCTGTGACTTGTTTTCTTCTTCATCCTCACTGGAAAGGAATCATTCAGCAGCCAAATCATAATAAAACACACTGACTGACTTCAATCTCACTGCTGAAAGGCACACATTTGTATGAGAAGTTTGCTGTACAAGACGAGTGTTGCTGTGTCTTCGCCATGGCTTTTCTTGTGTGCGTTTCTGAGGTTTCTGACCTATGCTGCCCCCATCAACAGCTCCATGGTTGCTCACATCTGTAATGATCTATGCAGTTAACCCCGATTCACATTAAACATACAGAATATGATGTCATTACAGGTCACGTTTAGTCTGCGGTGCATTAGGAAGACGAGTGTTAAAGACTGTTAGCCTCCTAAAGTGCCACAGAAGGAAGTTGCTGGAGTACAAGTTAGGTCTAATACATTTCATTAAATTATTTATTTGGATACCCTATGTCAATTTCCACATACTCACATGGTGTATAGTAATCCATAATGTAATGTAGTTTTAACACAGCTGGTGAGAATAGCAATAATAAAAGACTACAACGAAAACCATCTGCCTGTCTGGGCAGCATCACCTTGAAGTTGAGCACATATTTTAGCACTCGATAACATATCAGGGAATTTTGTAGTTGCTCTATCTATATGCACAGTTAGGAAAATGCCTTATCCCAAAGAGAAATGACACCGCTTTTACTTTCCCTCAGTAAAACAAAGACAATGCAGATTTCAAGCAAACATGACCAGACCTGCCTCGTCTCAGATAGGACACACGCAAGAAAACGCACGGCGAATGCACTGCGATACACTTTGCTCTTTTGGTCTCTGTCCAAGTTGTGCACAACTGATGAATGTGAAAGGAAAGGGTAATCAATGAACCTCTGTCGAGGACTTTCTTCACTTTGCTGTGCAAGAGTACACTGCTTTGCTTCACTGCTTTTATAAACAGAACTACGTGTTTGGTAAGTGTTTGTAGTTGATAGTTCACTTAACTAAAGAAGCTGTTTTCGGTTTGAATGCTCAGACCGTTTGGCGGCACAAGCTGGACTTTGTTGCCAATAATGACATTATTTGTTTCAGAATCAAAATAGATTTGAAGTTAATCTACATTTTATTTCCCTTGAATGTGTTCCTTTATTTTCAGCATAAATATTCAAGTGAACTTTTTATTAAACAATTAAGATACTATGCTAGATGTTGTACAAAATTTGTATTCTTCACAAAAGTACAAAATATTGGCTTTTAATGTGTAATTTAGGTTATCTCTCTTATTCTGTATAAAATGAAGTAAACAACTCTTTCATAGAATTTGTTCTCCTGTGAAGTCCCAAACAGTAGAAACTGTCAACTTTATTAAACACCTCAGTGTATGCTCAGTCTGATCTCACTGTCTATTTATCTTTGAATTATGCAAAGACTTTTTTTTCCTCGTCTCTTATATCGGTGTACTATATTTATTTGGTTCACTGGGCCCACTGCCATTGTCAATTTGATGCAAGATGAACAGGCAGCACATTGCTTCTAAAAACTTGAAAAAACCCAGAATTTATATAAGAAATGTTTCATTTCCAGTTTGTGTATTTTAAAATCATATTAATTTCCAATGAAAAAGTAGGACTACTGCACTGGAAAACCCCCCAAATAACTGCCCATTGAATCCAATCATGTGTGATCACGTGTAATATTAAGTAATTTTCTGCCTATGCATTAACTTCTACATAGATTTTATTTTATATATTGTATATGATTTGGAAATTTGTATTTACTACAATGAAAATCTTCCATGTATTGCAATGAAGAATCTCTAAGTTTGTCAAGTTAATACAACAATATTATTGTTAGAACAGCTACAAGTTATATATAGTAGAAACCATATTTTTTGCATTCAGCTGTTACAGGCACCAGTAGAGAACAGTGTATTTGCATGCTATTGCCTGCAGGAGGCACTGCAGTACAATGAATTAGTCAATAGTTTGCTGGGCCGTTACTAAAGCAGGGGAATGTACTGCAAAGGAAAACTAGTTTATTCCATCTCTCTTGATCTACTTTGACTAAAGCTTCTTATTAGTGGGCTCTATATTAATTTTATGTCTACTATACAAATGTGTATGTGGAAGATGGGAGATGACAGACGTTATGAGCCATCAATATATGAATATGAGGTTAAATGGACACACCAAAAAGTAAGGGAAAAATAAAATGTAAAAAAACAAAACAACACAAGTATAGGCTTTAACATGACAATGAGAAGGGGAAAAAAAACAACAAAAAACCATTTGGGGACTGAATCACTGATCACACCAAAAGTCAAAGTTAAAATTGTCATATTTTTATATATTGAGACATTATTTGGAAAGTGAATTATTGTTATAAGTTTGATATTTTTAGTGTTGTTCCTTACCTTTTGAGGCTTTTTGAAAAAAGGAAAGTTCTACAGAATTTCAGTAGAATACTAAACACACCCCATGATTCAACAGCTTTTGCAACAAAAAGTCGAAGTAATTGCTTCCTTTGTGACTTTATCAGTCTCTCACATTGTTGTGGAGGAATTTTTCCCACTTTTCATTACAACATTTCAGTTTCAGTTGATTAAGGTTTGCAGTCATTCATTTATGCACACGTCTCTTAAACATTTCAATCAAATTGAGGTTTAGACTTTGACGGGACTATTGCAACACCTTGATTCTTCTTCTTTTTAGTTATTCTGTTATAGATTTGCTGGTGTGTATGTAATCGTCGCTCTATAGTTTCAGTTGTAGTTAAACTTTATCAGAGGAGTTCATGGTCAACTCAATGACTACAAGGTGCCCAGGTCCCATAGCTAAAAGATAATCATCACACCTCCACCACCATGATGCAAGGTTTATGCTGATATGCTGTGTTTGGATTCCATGGCTCTGTGCATCATGGCAAAACTGCTCTACTTTGGTCTTATCTGTTCAAAGGAAATCGTGTACAAAGTTTTGTGTTATGTTTGGATGCTATGCTTCCAAATCAACGCGTATTTGTTCAGTCTTTTTCTAATTTCTGCCATGGACTGAGGCCTGTAGAGTCTGAGGCATAGTTCTCAGTTTTGTTTTGTTTTTTTTTAATTTCTCTGAACATTGTATGGTCTTACTTTGGAGAGGATTTGCTGGGAAGACCATTCCGGAGAAGACCATGTTACTGTGTTAACATACCTGGATGCTTCAGACAGAAAACCAAACCCTCTGCTTTTGTAAAGGTTGTTGGTTCTCACTTAGCAGCTGAAACCTACCCTCTTAAATCCCATGGAAGCAGTAAGAGTTTTGTTTTTCACAGGACTACACAGTGTTTTTGCAACAGACTTTCATTCCTGACAGCAGGAAAATCACAGGTGGAGCTGATGACATTAATGACTCATGACTCAGTTCCAATCAATGTCCTTGTAAACCGTGACCCTGCAGCAACATACGTAATAGCAGGGCCTCCCATAAATGGAATGCAGACATCTTTAATACACCTGTTCCTTTCTAGTCATGGCAAGTCAAAGTGTTTATTAGTGGGTGGGTCCATTTAGAGGACAACTCTGTATATTTTTACTATATTTTCATCTGCCACCTGCACTTGCTAGTTACTTGCCAAATTGTAAACAAACCGATTCTTCTATTGCACTTTACTACTTGAGCACCTTAAACAACATGCCCCATTCACTCATTCATTTTCTACACTTTTTTTTTAACATCTAGGTGATTTCTAGCTAACATTCTCACACATTAGTTTGGATGAACACATCAGGAGCAACACAGGCCTCAGTATCTCCAATCTCAAATTGGAAGGTCATCTTCTAATCCCCTCGATTAGTGGATGACCTGCTCTACCTCCTGAGCCACAGGTCAGCACAGGCTTGAAAATAATTACCTCTCCTACAACAGATTAAATAGTTACAGTTTTAACCCATTTGACCACTGACAATGTTTAAATCTTAAGCTCAAACCCTGGTAAAAACAATTTCTTTACTTTTACTTTCATCACTTTGAATGCAGTTTGTGTGTGTGTGTGTGTGTGTGTGTGTGTGTGTGTGTGTGTGTGTGTGTGTGTGTGTGTGTGTGTGTGTGTGTAAAGGATTACTTACAGGGAGGTATTGTCAAACAAGTAAAAAATCCTGAAAGGTCATTTCCCCATGGCAAACTATCAAACTGTTCACTCAGTGTTACATATTAGTTTGTTAACACTGCCCAGCTGCACAGTTCTAACATTAGCATTTTATTGCCCAGGTATTGACTAAGGTACCATTATTAAGGTAAGAAAAAAAAAAACATGCAGGTAATTGTTACAACCTGTATCAGCGAAAGACAGATTATGATTTTATTTTACACTTTGAATCTTGAGGTTTTTGCACACGTTCTCCGTGTGATTCCTTGATTTCTTAAACAGGCAGCTGGAGTCTGATGGTTGGGAAAGGTTGGGTCACATTTCACTGCGTGTTATACTTGTATAACTATGTACGTGACAAATAAAAGGATCTTGAATCTTGAAGCAGTGGGAACAGTTCAGTGCATCAAATATCCATTAGAGTATAGTTCTGAATCATAGATGTTAGGCTGAGCAATTACTGCTCGAAGTATAGAACCGACTTTTGTCCGCTGGTTGATTTTAAATGTGCTGGCCAAAATTTTCTCTCTGAATTAAAGTCGACTTTCTCTAGAAAACTCTGCTTTTTCACATCTTGTGTAGGCAGGGTCTCATCATCCATTTATGTACAGAACTGTTATTACAGTGTAATCTCTAATCAGATGCTCAGATTACCTGAGAGGGAAACAACAAAATCCTGCACTTCCTTAAGTGCATGTAAACATGGGTGTAGTTAAAGTTTGAGTGGGGAAGGTGGGATGTGTGTGCATTTGGGGTGTGGGTCATAGACTCTACAATCTAACCACTGTAGAAAATCTGAGGCATTATACTGTTATATGTCACACATTTAAATATTCATTTCCATAAAATCATTAAGGTAGAATGGAAAACTGAATCAGGTTGTCAGTTATCAGGGGAATGAGTCTGAAAAATGCATACTTGTTAAATTAATTGTTGAATACATGGTCAAACAGTGGTCACAGACACCATAAACATTGGACAGCATCAACACCTTTTGGATTAATCCTTAGTGTTAGTGTTGGAGGGGTCATTTATCAGCTAAGCTATCTAGACTGGTTAACAAGTTTCATTAATAAACTGTGTGGGTTCAACAGAGACACAATCATCAAATCTGAAGCAAAGGATTGTCTGCACCACACGGCAACTCAAAACATTACTCAGCTAGTCCTTTAAAAATGCTGCGCAAGATTAGAACAGCATGCATTAAAACACTCACTTCATAGCGGAGGTGAGGCCTAATGAGACTGGAAGGCCACCTGCCATTCAATATGGCCACAGCCTTAACTCAGTTATGCAAAATGTACTCACTCAGAGTTGTTATGAAGGGATAAACTAGACTCCATCTCTTTTCTTTTTTGGTACCAGGTTAAATCCCTTGTGGAAAGAGCCACAAGTGGCACCTAGAGGAACTACAGTTTTTTGGCACTTTATTCCTGGACTCCATTTTTCTCCATGTTTGAAACTTGGTTAAGGTGCTATCATATTTAATTAGTCAAAGACATTCATTAAAAAAATAAAAAATAAACAAACAAAAATGTAGTTTATTCCAATGTGAAGTAAAAACGAATGAGTTTGTGAATCTCAACATTGTTTTCGTGGTTTTTGTAATGCGTTTTTTAATTTAAAAATGAAGAGCATGCATGTATATCCTCATTATAAGAAGACCAGTAACTTAGCAATAAAAATAAAAATTAACTGACAATTTCAGTTTTATGATGAGGATTTTACTAATGAACAACACAGGTGAACCTAAAATAAATATTATTTTGCACCTTCAGCTAGGACATAATAAGGTCTGAGCAAAATTCTGCTTTATTCTGACTTAACAGCGCTTAAAAGCTTCTTCTGGCGACTTTTTGGGAACTGGTGTTGTGATGTAAGCGCGGATATTCATGTGATAGACTCGCGGCCTGCCCACCGCTCCCTGGAATTAGATAAGCGTTTGAGAAAATGGATGGATAAATTGAAATCAACTGAAAACTGCTAGATCATAGCTGGAGACCCAGGTATCATCCACGATCCATCCAGGTGATCCTTCACGCAAAATTTAGTCAGTCAGAAAAAGACGTTACTGTTAAAGTGAAACAGCAATGTGCACACAGTGCAAGCGCTCGGTGTTCAGGGAGCAATCCGATAGGTGAGCATAACATTGTCTGCAAATGCCCAAGAAGCTGAACTTAAAAGGGGAATGCCCAGGATCAGGTAAGATTTACATTTTTTGGGCGCATTCTTGAAATTTGGCACACCGTGTTCAGGAAATCTTGCGCAGGAATATGGCCAAATCATCTTGCCCTTTTTCCTCCATCAACTGTCAGTTGTAATAATGCAAAGGTGCAACCACTTTATTTGCAGCCAAACAGGCCTCATTTCATTCATTAACTCGACTCTGCAATCTCATGTTTAAAACATCTGTACTTTCTGCCACATATTCACTGTCTTTGGGACAACAGCTTTTGAAAATAGCCACAGTTATATAATTATTTTTAGATGATGGAGTTCCTCATTTTTCAAGCCA